CTGGCTGGCCCCGCTAGCAGATCCGCAAAGGTCAAACACTTCTCAGCATCCGACGCTTGATCTCTCATGACGGCCGACTTGACTTTGCTGATCCATGTTCTCGCTCGGTCCTCATCTTGATTCTTGCCCGTGAACTCCTTCAGATCCGATATGGCTGAGATCCGTACCCTCTGGATCATGGACGATCCACCTGCCCCGGCTGTGGCTGTTGCTACCACTGCTGGCGAAGTGGATGGGCCATCCAGATCATCTGGGTCGAACTCATCATGTGAGTTGTCTCCCTCCACGGATTCCATCTCCACGTCTCGTGCTCCATGTTCGTGGAGCACTTGCACTTGTGGCACGGGCGCTCTCATACCCTGTTCGGCCAGGAAACGACTCATCGCAGCTTCGAAGTGTCGCTGCAGGGTGCCCGAGGAAGTGTCGGAAGAGCCTGTGGCCGTCTGGTCCACTGGCGAGACCGGATCCGTGAGGCGATTACCTTGAGCCCGATCTGACGATAATCCCACTGACTTCTTGCCGGATCTGGCTCGATCGTGGCTGGATTGTGTCAGATCACGCGTAGGGCCTACTGGATCCCGAGCCTTCACGTTCACAGGGACTTCCTGTCCTCGGATTCTCGCCCGCGCTTCCAGCATGGACGCCCCGGAGGGTCCTAAAGTCATGCGTCGTGGTTCGGACGACGTGTCTGACTCATCCTCAGCGGCGGATTCGTAGTTCGAGGACGCAGCTTGGCTAACCCTCGGCGACGACACCGGATCCCTAGTGCGCGACCTTTCTCCGGTGATGGACTTAACTCTGGCAACGAGGTCCCGCGTCGCGGATACTATGAGATCCAGGTCTAGCTCGAAGATATCCTCTGCGTCAAACACACCAGCTACGATGCCTGACTCCGTAAGCAAACGTAATAGATCCTTGACTGCCACCAACTTGTTCGCCGTTTTCGTTGGTGCTCTCACCGGTTCTCTTGGATCTTCGATCTGTCGTGGATTCAGGATCTGCATGACAGGATCTTGATGCAGGAAGTCGCGTAAAGCTTGGTGGCGATACACAAACCCGAGATCCTTGTCTGACCAGCCTGACCTGGATCCAGCTTGGTCTTCTTCCGAATCTGGAGCTTGCATCTTCTTCCGCGTAGTCTTACCCTTTTTCGTCTTCTTTCTCATTCTTCGACTAGCGGGGTTGGGTTTAGGTATAGGTATAGTAGGGCTTAACCGGTGAATCTGCAAATGCATACCGTTTCGCCTTCACTTTCCCTTGTTTTGTTAGCGGATCTTGACTTGCGTCAAGATCCGCAGGGGTCCCCGAGGGGACTTGGGGAGGATAGAGAGGTTTTTCTTCTAGATCCGGATCCGGATCCACCTCTCTTCCGTCGACAGAGTTCCTTCCAAAACTCCATCGATCCGCGGATCTTGTATCATTCAGCAGCGTCTTCGTCGATCCGACCTCCGACGACGCCTCTTCCCCTGGCTCAATCCTCACTTGAGCATCTTCTTGAAGCTCACGGTGAAATCACGAGTCACCAAAAGATCCGGGCACGCGCACCATTGAGGCGTAGCGGGATCAGCAAAATCTGCGAGATTGCCGGATCTAGCTTACCAACTGCACCCAGACACCGACTAACGGAGGGGGTCCCCCGATGATGATATGTGTTCTGCTGAACTTTCCTCACCTTGTGTACCCGTCGGTAGGGCGGGATCTTGCTCTCTCGGTAACTTCCGAAGAGTTCAAGTGGTGAAGCTTGAGTGTCTTGGCGAGACGTGGGGATGGGGTGGAGCAGCAGTGGAAAATCTTCACTCTGCCTCCGTGGATGGTTCCGTATCCTAAGCGAATATTCAAGCTTATGGATCCGGGGCCTAGATCGTAGACCTGGCCGTAGGGTTGCCTTGCGGGTGTGTTCCCTTGCCTTTGCGTTTTCCTTTGCGTCGTACTTGCCGCCTCCTGTGACGGGATCTTGAGAGTTGAGAGCCTCTAGGGTATAACCGACCAAGTAGTAAATTCGGTTAACCTGTCGGATCTGCACAAGTAAAGGAAAAGCTCACTAGGTTGTAGGATCTGGCCAATGTATTATCCAGCTATCACTACCAGCACTAGATTCGCAATTCCCAACCTTCTCCGAGCTCGTACGGCCAATGTAGTTCCGGTTCTTGAGGGCAGGAAGGCACTTGCGTGTTACTGTGCAAATTGGGTCTGTATTGATACTTAAGCCTATACCTGCCTGGATTTCTACCTTCGATGTCTTTCCCTCGTTAAATCCCTTACCAGGCTCGGCTGCATGTCCCTTCTTTCCTTGACCCATCATCCCAGCTGTATTATCTTCAAGATCCACCGGATCCATAGCGTAATCATTATGGTCACCCTATTATAGGTACACTCATCCGGATCCAGGTCGCTTGGATCCACTTCAATGTAAGTGTACACTCGTCGTGGATCTGAGCTCTTCAATCATCCAACATCATCTCGCAACCGTCTGTGATCTCCATTGTCCCACGAAAGTTCGAGATCCACTGCATCCATCATCATATACCCTGAATCCAGGTCCCTCAAGGCGGGATCCTCTCTCCTTGGATCCGAACTCGGAAGTATGGGATCCGGGGTACCTCGCGGTGGATCTTGACTCCTCATTAGCCGTGGCTACTAGATCCTCCTTCAGAGGGCACCTACCATCCTTCCTTCATAGGATCCACACCCGATCCATTCTTGTATAGTATATCCCATATCCATCTTGGTGAATCCAGGTAAGGGTGGATCCGAGGTAAGTCTTGGTGGATCTTGCCTTCTCGTACATCGCTCATACCAGATCCATCGTCATTTCATACGGGGTGCTGCTCGTCATGGCTAATCCACCACAGGCAACTTGCATCCGTGCCAGCCAACCCAAATCCTCTCTAATCACTTGAAATTGTCACTGATTCGGGATAGTGACCCCGCGTTAGGCCCATTCTCTTATTTCTGAGAAAGCACTTCACCACACTTGTACTTACTACACTTGGTGATTGCTAATAGCAGTACCGGCTTCCTCCGCTTTTTACTGACAGTCATGTTTGGCAACTTTGATGGGAAAATTGGGTATAAACAGTAATGTCTGCCGCGCGTCGTACATCATAAAGCGTACGTGAATTAATTGTGCAGCTCATCGCAGAGCGGACTGCTTCCAATTGTGTCGTGCTCGTCGCCAACAGCACCAATTCTACCGTCTACAGGCTAAGGCTAGCTAGTTCAGCGATCATCTCACTTGCTACCACGTCTACTTTTTCTATGGCGAGTCCGTTTCTTGTAGCCCGCTTTTACCGTCTCCTCACTTAACTTCGCCCACGCACTGATAGATAAGCTTGCGCCGCTGTTCGTGCGCATATTCATCTAGACCGCTATAGAATGCTTTTATAACGGCAGAGATATCACCACACTGCTCCCATGCATCCAGGACCGCCAGCTTTCCCGCTGCTGTGATGGCGGTGCGCCTGCGTGTTGGTTGCATCTCGTGGATTAGGAAATATCAGGTGCCTAACCCATTTTTGTGTTGTCAGTAACAAGTGGAGGATTTCGATAAGGTGATTCGATTGGTTATAATTGAGTGTCAGTAATAAGTGATCGTCAGTAAAAAGCGGAGGAAGCCGGTACTTAGAACCTTTGAAAATGGCTCACCCACTCTCTGACGCAGCTCGACGCCAATAGTTGCCGTCTGCACTGCTTCGTTCATGTCTTCGGAGAGGCGTGCAGCGATATCTTCGTGCAGCTCAAGCAGATCTCCTAGCAGTCTTTGCATCTTGACCAGCTTGAGCTGGAGCTCCTCGATCTTTGAGACACGGCTCCACAGCAGTTTCGACGCAGTCACACTTCGCCTGGAGACTTTGTCGCTGGGGTTAGCGATTAGCATTGCTACCAGTACCGCCGTGTCCTCCCCTGTGGGCATCCTGATCGTCTTTTGGCGTCTTATCGATCTTCGTCTAAGTGTTTGCGAATGGACCGGTGCGGCCCGCTCTCTCGTAATATACCACGAAAGGCGCGGGTCACAGAAATATTCAAAAAAGTTTGCATTCGATTTAACAGGGAAGTTGCTGAAAGGCGCCGATATAAAGGTGTATTAACGAGAGCCCTACAAATCTGAACCTGTTAATGCACCTTCAAAAAAAAGTTGCGTAACTTAAATTACGGTAATTTAAAAACGAACCGTAACCGTGGAACCGAACCGGGCGCTGAAAATCCCCCTCAGTTCAAAATTTGCGAGCTTCCTGCCAACCGTCGCCAATGCTTCCCGCCAACCCGCCGCCGGAGCTTCCCAGAGCCTCCTGCCACCTCCGCCGATGCCTCCACTCAAGAAGAAGCGAAGGACTTCCCCTCTCGAGCACGCAGACGACTCCAGCGACGACAGCGAAGTGTTAGAGTCGACACAACCGTCATCTGCGTCAAAAGCTACGGGTAAGGAATACGTGAAATGGAACTGAAGCTAGAGAGTTTGTTGCTAATGCTGTTTACCTTTATTAATGCTTTAGATCCTTCTTATGTTCCACTTGCAGTTGTTCCGAGTATTGTCGGAAGGACTTTCGCGTCGTGGCCGGATTTCTTTTCGTTTTGGGAGCAGTTTGAAAGGCAACATCTTGTTGTCTATCGCACGAGAGACTGCCAGACTACGAAAGGGTACAATAAGTCAAAGATAAATCACCCAGAGCGCCAGGTTCCTGAATCATTTGGCTACGCGTTTCGCAAATACGTTTGCACTCTCGGCTGCAAGCAGAAATCTCGGTCGACTGGAAAACGGGCTAAGCGGAAGGAACGATATCGCGCAGGCAAAGCAATGTTTCGCGTCGCTGTTATTCGTGCTAGTAGTGGTGACTTTTCAAGTAGTTCTAACTGGACCATTACAGTAACAAGTGAGGTTGGTTTTATCATTTCTTTTGTTTTTTTGTCCAGTATATCACTATTCCGTATGTACATGTCAAACTAATATGAATCCTCGTTATTGTGTATTTGTGGAACACGTGCCACAACCATGTCAACACCGGGACGCTTTATACTGCTTTGAAGCAGTGCAAGGACCTGTTGAGCGAGTCAGTGTTGTCCATGCTGGACGCATTCGGGCAGACCAACACGGACACTAAGCAAATAGTCAGCTATGTTGCTGACACGACTGGTACGTCCTATTATCTTGCTTACAGTTGTTGGTAGCCATTCGTAACGTGTACCGCTGCTGGAATACGAAACAGGTCTTCCAATCTCTACGCAACAAGTGCGTAACCTCATGAATGCTCGTCTCGGGCACAGCAGTGCGGAGAAGCGCTTAAACGGTGTGCTGTCTGAATTTGCTTCCACAGAGGGAAATGAATGCGTGCTGCTGCAAGGCGAATACGATCAGACTATCGGAATTGTGATGCAGACGAAAGCGCAGCGTGATATCTTTGCTCGCTGGGGCGATACGCTGTCGCTGGACTGGACGCACAATTGTACAAATCTCGGCTTCTACGTCGGTACGTGCTGATGTTGCACAACTTCTACCGAAGGTGCGCAACTTGGTGCAGGTTTTTTTTGTAGCTTACGAGATACTTGTTTGGTGCTGTTCAGGTACTCTTAATGCCACCGTAGCAACAGGACGCGGCGTATCTGTGCTAGATTACCTGTGTCTGAATCAACAAAAGGAGTCTCTGTTAGCTGTGCTTCAGTGGTTCAAGACGAAGAACCCATCGTGGGGTCGATTGGAAAGTCTCATCATTGACAAAGACTTCACAGAGTGGTCTACGTTACGCGAGGTGTTTCCGCAGGCGGCGGTGAGTTTCTTTAGAGCTGTTGTTTTGTATAGAAATAATACTAACAACAGTGCTACTAGATTTTGCTTTGCCAATTTCATGCACAGCGTTATGTGAAGAGAATGATTGCCGGCAAGAAGTACTTTGTGCTGCCCAAGTATCGCGATGAAATCGAAGAGCTGTTTAAACAAATGGTTTACGTCCCGACGAAGGAACAGTTCCAGGGCAGGTTGAAGCTGTTCGAACAGAGAACAGAGAAGGCTGCGCCAGGGTTTGCTGAGTACTTTGCACGAAACTGGTCAGCCTGTAGCAGTATGTGGGCGAACTATGGGCGTCGACGATGCTTCTCGGCGGGTAACACTACTACAAACCGGGTGGAGGCTGGGTGGAACCAGTTAAAGCAGCTGCTGGAAAAAAAACTAGCATCGACCGATGCGTTCGAGTGATAATTCAACACCAACTCAGTGTTTTGCGTGATTTTTCGACGGCGATAAATCTGTTTGATGTGTGCCCTCCTGTGACGGACCCGCTACCGGCTGCGCTGCACCGCATCGCTACAGTTCTGAGCCCGTACACGCTGAGAAAGGTGCAACAGCAATGGGAGAGCTACAAGCTGAATGGTGCGAATTGGGACTGGAGTTGTGAGCAGGACGGAGGTCAGGACGTCTTCACAATGGCTACTTCGGAAGGCAGCTGTGTTCGAGTGACATGGCGGACTTCTGGTCAACCCAGTTGCGATTGTATTTTCTTCTCGTCGTTACGGCTTCCTTACAAGCACCTGTGCAGTGTCTTAACGACCTTCAGAAGCGACAATGTTTTTGAGGTTGCCCAACTTCACGCGTGTTGGTCGATGAAGGAAGCATCGGCAGCATTGCCATTTGTAGAGTCGACAATGGGGCATTTACGAAAGGTTACAAGAATTACAGGAAATGCATCACACACGCCTGCGTCGAGTATCATGCTTGCTTCGAAGAAACGGATTGCTTTTGTGAAGCTGAAGAAGGGTGAGACCAGTGACGAGACCGTACTCTCTGACTGCGAGAAGTACAACGTGGTTAGAGCGGAAGTTATGCCGTTAGCTGACAGTCTTCAGAGCCTCCCGTCTGCTAAGTTCTACGAAACATTTGCCGATCTTCGCGCAACAATAAGAAGCTTCAAGAAGAAGGGGAGCTTGGACCGAGACTCTCTCTCAGATGCGGGTGAATCGGACGACGAGTCCGATGCGATGGGCCTGGAATACGAGATGGCATGTGAAGGCGTTGGTATCATGAATAACGCGCAACTTCCCGTTCGTACTTTGGAAGAAGCCGATATTCATGAGCCTCCGGAGGACAACACGAGCTCTCCCGTGATACAGGGACTCGATGGAGACGATCTGCCGTCGTGTTGCTTAACAAACCCATCCCAGACATCCCTGCCGGACCTGACTATCAGCGAGCAATCACAAGCGGTGTTGCAACAGCAGCCAAATGTTCATTCAGCAACGTCTACAGCATCTCTATTGGCGCAGCCGGGGTTTCTTTTGGAGCGAGCGGGTGCTATAGACAACATGCAAGTTCTGCGATTACCTGAAGCATCCAGTTCACGGTCGAGAAACACTAAAAAGGGCAGCAAGTGGGCAATCGCCGAGTGTCGAACCGATTGTCCTGTTGATCTTGAAGACTTCTTGAAGTGGATTGACACGACGCCTGACGTTGATTACGTCGGAAAAATAGAGTCAAATTACCCGGTTTGTTACAACAAGAGTTTTCTGCTCTCAAGATCTCCAACGGTTCTTTAAAAGAGGGCAAGTGAAGTCATTAATGATGCCAATTTCGTCATTCCAGTGCAGTTGTTGGAGCGTGTGAATAGTGCACTACTTCACTGGACTTCAAAGCAGACCGAAACAGAAGATTTAGATCCTTCGCAAGACGATGTGGTTCCAGCGGTATTTGTGGCTTCTAAAATGGGCAACTTCTCCATGTAAGTTTTGATAGTATTGTGGTGTTGGAAATCCCACGTGAACTCTAGCTACAGATGTAGTTAGGATGTTCCCACAACAATACGTCTACTAGGATAGTAAACGATCGTTCGGGCGGACCTGAAGACCCCAGTTCTGCCCTTGCACCGGGACAAACTGGACCTTGTAAACTACTTATATAGGCCAACCAGTAAAATAAGAACACGCTACTAGCACGAGCAAAGCTAGCAGGTGTTTTGAATCCTCGTGGTCCCAACAGCGGAAGGGTACCAGGCACGGGTAAGCCTTTTACGAGATCACCGAGTGTTCAACACTCGGCTGGAAGAAATAAAAGGGAGGCAATTCAAGCACTCCCAGTCGTGCAAATAGGCAACAATAAGCCGTCACGTAAAACCTCCCGATAATAATCGGCCAATACACAAAGTCTCTTGGCCTTGCCGGATGAACCCTCGCTACAGAGCTTCGAGTTCACCGACAGGCATAACACACTCAAACAAACTTGACCTGACGCTTACCTTGAAGCCGGACGTCGCTCTGTGTGCTTGAGTGGAAATTCTGTTCTGTATTTAAGCTTACCCTTTCGGGTCTATTCCTAATAAGAAGTCCTAATCAAGTATACAAATATCAAGTGAGCAATGATCCGTTATGGATCTTCTTGCATGCCAAGCGTTGTCTGCACCGTCGCATGAGCATCTTTAACGGTCCGCGCCTTGTCCCAGACGGTGAACGTGTCTTCCAAAGGTCGCTGAGTCTTCCGCGAACTCATCCCAACCGCCACTGAGGGTTCGTACCGTAGATGGTCCGCTGAATGCGAATCCGGCCAGTCCATTATTAATAATAAGGACAGCCTGGATTCAGTGACATAGGGCCGTATCCGATACTTGTTGAAAACTCGGAGGTGACGCCGTCGAGTCCCTTGCACCTTGGCGTCTCCGTACATCACCTGACCGAGGGTTCGTCGCTTGAACATCTTGGGCGGTGTCACGTCTTTGTCGACGGGTGATAATCCGCAACTACGGAGAAATCACTACACCACAACTGCCCCTGTCGCAGTGGAAGCCACGGTACTGGTGCCCGTTGTGACATTTCTTCATTCTCCAATTCACCATCTTGCCACCGTATGTCCAAGCGCCTGAATCGAGTCGTGTCCGACGCATTCCAGCGTCTCAATCCCCGTAGACGTCGCGAACGTGAACAGCTGGAGGTACGTCA